AATTGAATGACCCCTTGAAGCATGATAGATTCTGATTGGCTGTCACTGCTTTTATGTTTCATCATTTCACAAAAATTTTCAGAATGTACCGAATGTGGCTTGATTTGTACATGACATTTATACCAGTGGTCCTTAACCAGCAGGCCGCGAATTGGCACCGGTCCGTGGATCAATTGGTAACAGGCTGCACAAGAAATCGTCAATTATTCAGTTTTATTTATTATCTGAGCCTGAACGACCTTTTATTTTGAAAAGTCTTTGATTTACCAATCAGCTTTAGATTGTATGGAATATACACGTTTTGGTAAAAATAATTATCTCAGACAAACACAGAACACCCAAACACTGAAGTGCATTGTAATTTTCACCATAAATAGGTGATAAAAGGTGATAAAAAGGTTAAGGACCACTGATTTATACTACGAATGACAATGAATCTATTATCCTGTGAATTTTACTGTACAATCACAATGCACTCTGTAACTTTTTGATTTAGTGCCTAATTCGTATAAATTTGTGCCATCTCCTCCATACATTTTTGTAAAATTTACTCGTCCCCCAATGAAAATCGGTTTTGGGGTTGGGTTTGTAGACACACCTCCTTTTAAAAAAAATTAAAATTTCCAAATGAATAAAATTGTATGAATTTGTACAAATTAGCCACTTTTCAGACATTTCTTTGTGAAAGTTGTCCAGCATCTCAAGTCAAGGTATTCTTGGCTCCTTTCGCCCCCACCTCCGCACGTTATTTTTGTTTTCTCTGCTCCCCGCAGAGCGGCAACAAGCCCTTTGAGCTCTCGCCCCTCCTGCAAGCTGCAATCTGTACAAACCACGTCACGCCGCTGTGGAGTGACCCCGGCGGTCGTGGAGATCCTCGGCTGCTGCGGTTCATCTCGTGTCAGCTCAGTGCTCTAAATTGTGTGACAGCGCAAAGCCACGGATGAGACAAGCTGTCAGTCAGGGCGCCCCTGCTGCCCTTTGAAGGCGAGGCCAGGGGGCAGAAAGGTGCCGCAAATGGCCTGTGAAGTTTACATACACTGCCCACTGCTAAACAGATTACCTCTAATGAAGTGTCTAGAGCTCAGGCCGCGTCAGGCCTAATCCTGGCTGGCAGTGCGTCCCTTCGGCTGCCAAAAAAGCCGCCACCCTCTGGCCTCCTCCCGCCGCTATGCCGGCCTCCCCGGCGCTGGGAGGTGCCCGTCGTTAATCAGGCCGGACAGTGCGCGAGCTGACATGCAAATGTAGGTCATTGCATATGTAAATGTGTGATTAGCGAGCCGCATGCCAGAACACATTAGCTCGACTTTGCTCTCAGCATGCGCTTGTCATGCCGCTTTAGAGGCTCATGCTAACATTTGTCAAGCGACCATGCGGGGAGTGAAAGCAATGCCTTGGCCCTCTGTGGACCATCCGCTGCTGACCAGATCTACAAGATGCGTTTGTGTCATCGATGGGTCAGTGATATATAAAAAATGTCTATGATAAAGAAAGCGGAAATGTTTAAAAAACGATTATCTAAGCAATTCATGATTGTTTTATGTGGTTTGGAATTTCTTTAGTGCCTCCTTTTTAAAAAAAATTTAATTTAAAAACCACTAAAGACGCCTGTGGTGTAGCTTAAATAAACAAGTAAATGTTTCTTTTAAAATTTATATTACATTTTTACTTGTTTTATCATGTTGAACCACATGCCCGTTTTTACATCTTTAATATGTAAAATACAATCAACTGATCAAAATAACAAATCTTGGTTATACTTTACAATCGGGTTTCATTAGTAAATGTGTTTATGAGCATGCACTAATTATGAACAATACTTGTACAGCATTTATTAATCATGGTTCAACATTTAGTAATGCATTATTAACATCCAAATTCCTGCTTGTTAGCATCAATGCACCATGAGTCAACATGAACTAACATGGTCAAATACTGATGTATTGTTTGTTCATGTCAGTAAATGCATTAACTAACATTAACTAATACAACCTTATTGTTTCATACAACCCAATTGTTTTCATATGTTGTTATTTGAAAACCAGGGTTATTTAATTAAGTACTGAGTTGTTAATATAGGGTGTCTTAAAGTATTAAATGTTGATAAATCAATTATGAGAAAATAAACGCTCTTAAAAGGTATTAAAATGTCTTAATTGTGTTTTTACAAGGTCTTAATTTTTGTTCAAGAGTTGTCCAATGTGTTTGACTTCATAAAAGCTTAAATATACTTATTTTTCTCCTAATATTAATTGTGGCTTGCTCGATCCATGTGATTGGTTCAGGCCAGGGTGTGTCCATCTGGATGATGTCACTTAATTTGCCACTAACACAGGAAGTTGATGTGACACTCCACATGTGGGCAAACCATAGTGCGAAACAGACAGCAAAATGGGAAAATGTAAGTTTGCATACTCCTGGTTGGAAATAGACGAGTTAAACAGTGGCTGAAGCTGGTTGCTGAAAACAACAGTGTAATTTATCCTTTCAAGCTTTGTTTCTTCCGAGCCTATCTGAGTTCGGTTGCATGATTGTGCTCAATTGATTTATTTAACCACAACTGTTTAATAACAACTGTTTATTAAGATTTGATACCGATTAAAACTTGAAGTGGCAATGAGCTCTTATAATATTCTGAGAAGGTCTTTAAAAATAAAGGTATTGGAATTACCTCTAGGATTACTTCATATACCCTGTAATTCTTCTGAATTTAAATGTTGGTATTGTGCTGTTTAAAAGTGAAAATAAATGTCTGAGAACATGTTTGTTATTTCATGCAAAGAGTCAAAACAAAACAAATGGCAACATATATATATATTTTTTTATCTAGATGAATTATTAGTAATTTAAACAATGAAACGGATATTAACTTTGACAAACCCTAAATCCAGAAAAATGTCATGTGGACTCTTAATTTTTTCCATATTGATAATTAGATACAGTTATATTTTATTCAAATATATACATTTTAATAGCTGACACAGCATGAGTTATATATGGGTACAGTGCTACGTTAATTTACAAATAAATACTGTGCGCAGACTATTCTGTTGTTTTTACTTTACCCAACTTTTTTCCAGTTACTGTTCTTAGGATATATATTGTTTTGTTCATCAGCTTCTCTGGATTTGACACAAAATAACTAATAGTTGCTGGATATCTGGTGTCTTGGTTATTAGCTTAATATTGTTTCATTTAGTCAGACCCAGCTTTCTCTCTTTGCTGCAGTAGCAGAAAGCGAGCGCTGCTTCTGCTGCACCAGATGTGTCCCTAGAAGAAGGGGCTGAGAGCGTGTTGTCACATGGAAAAACAAGCTACCTCGGTGTGTTAATTGGATGGGGCAATTCTTTGGCTCACACCTTTTTTTCCCCCCTTAAAGCTGTCAAGTTAGAAAACAATGAAATTCTTAAATTGGTCGCCCCTTGATCTACATCCACCCCTCTGGCGTCTAGTCAAGTAGCAGTGCTTCCTCCAACTCATTTCTTTCAGTTCATCCTGTTATATATACGTATCCGACAGTTTTACACAATAATGGTGATGGATCTGACAGATCGTCCAAGTATTGTAGTATTGAAAAAACACTGGTGCCATTCGTATTGGTTGCTATGCCTGAATATCTTAATGGATGATCATTTCATGAAGCTTAACTTGGAATCAAAATATGAAAAAGCGTTCCATGCTTAAACTTTTAATATATATATATATATATATATATATATATATATATATATATATATATATATATATATATATATATATATATATATATAGAGACAAATAAAATTTGACTATATATATATATAGCAACCATGTTCATGCAAAACACTGCTGGTGAACGGTTAAACGGTGAACTAATAGTTATTAATACAAAAGAAATTATATATATATATATATATATATATATATATATATATATATATATTATTTTATTTTTTTATTTTTTTTAAATGCTGTGTATAAATATGCAAATCAACCATTATTTAATTAAATATGCAAATATTTTCCAATATCTCAACATTTGGTTAAAATTTCTTAACATTTGGTCAAAATATTTATTAATAGTAATAAAATGATGTATATAATCAGGTATATTATGCACAAATATCCCTCTGTAATTACCTTGTGTGAAGACTATACTAAAAAAGAAACTCTAAAAACATTTATTTTAGATTTTTTTTAACTGAAAAAACCCGAAAGTCTCAAACTTGACATGTACATGAAAAATGCCTTAAAACGGTCCCGGACGAGCCTCCATTTCCCATCTAACAGTGTCATTATCTTTATTTAGACTCAAGCATTTTAGAAATTTAAATTTAACAATTCTTCTCTCTTTCCTGTCTTCACAATATTATTCGCCCTCAAGGCCGTCTTATGGGCATCTTAGGGTAGTTCAACACGGCACGACATTGCGCTCCTCAATCTGTCACCTCTAGTTTCTAGAGCGTTTGTGGGATTAAAGTTTGCAGTGGAAAAGCCTCTAAAGGTCATAGTGTTAATTAATTTATTTATTTGCTCACACCATCTCCGAGGGGCTAATTCTGGGTTTTGTTTGGAAATGTAATTTTAGAGCGCAAGTGTCAAGACACCACACGAATTCCTTGGAAAAGCACTTGGGGCGGTTTGTCACTAACTGGTCCAGCATAAGTCACTTCAGAAATAGGGATGTCACCACTCGCCTGATTCATCTAGACAGTCTACAGCAAAGATTCATATTGCGCTTTGCTTTGTTCAACATGGAGGGTTAATGTTGATTCGTTCCCACACTCTTTCGCCCTGACATATCACCCCAGTGACACCTATCGAGGATGCCCTCAAGAGTTTGCATCCTTCTCTTGGCATACACTGAAAAACAATAACAAGTTTGGCTTGCAGTGGCCGATTTGAGGAGACGTGTTTTTTTTTGTTTTGTTTTGTTTTTTTCATTTTAGGTTCACGTTGAATGAAAAAGCGCAAATGAAAGCTGTCTGATGTGCATTTTGCTTTGTTTTGTTGTTTGTTTTCAGAAAATTGATATGGGCTATAACAGTTTAGCCAACTTTGCCATTGAGAAGAAGATTGGAAGAGGACAGTTCAGCGAAGTTTATCGAGCTACGTACGTTCTAGACCACACTATAGTTGCTTTGAAGAAAATACAGGTAAGAAATTCATCCCATAATGTCATTCAGCAAGACTACACTTTAAAACAATTATTTTTTACTAATAAAAGCCTAAATGTCTCAAAATTGGCATACACATTAAAAAACTATATTGCTTGTCTTATAATGATCCCGGTCGAGCCCCCATTTGTTCACTCGGAAAGAAGATATTTTTGTTTCAGGGAATTCTTGGTCTGCCTTTACAGGTTATCATAACTAACTAAAATTTGAATTATTTATATTATATTTAAATTTTATGATACTTAACCAACATTAAAATGAGCCATTTGTTTTACATCATTTGGTAACCTTTGATGTTAGTAAGAAACTGTTGATGTTAGTTCATGGTCTATTATTTAAAGACTGCCCAAACCGATACAATTGTTGATCTTAACAGTGTTTCTAAAATTTGATATTCACATTTAAGGTTTAGAAATCCTGAAGTACCATTATTATTACTTTATATTAAACAATTTATTCAACTAGTGTATTCTGAATTGCAATTATAGCAATATAATTAGCAATAAATTAAACAGTTTAAAATAAAATATAAAGGAAGCATTTTATTTCAGCTAGTTTATAAAGCATTTCCCATTTTTACTTAGTTGAACTGATTCATTAAAATAACTAATTAGAAACTATTGACCGTATGTTTAAATACTAAAATGCTTAAAAGATGTAAATTTAAAATAATGATACAATAAATGAATAAAGGCTTTATTTTTATATTTAATTGCTTTGTAGTTGAGTATATACTGTATTTTTAGTGGAAAAAATATTTTATTTCTAACTGATTTTTTTTTTTTTTTACATAAAGTGCCTTTAGACATTTTCAGAAATATTATATGTTTGAATGAAGTTTTATTCAATTAATAAATATGTAATTATTCAGTTGTGTTGTGATCATTTTTGCAAATGTATATGCTGTATCTTCTTGATTATGTAATTTAGTCTTAGTAAATAATTAAGCATGAAAATGAATTTAGCAATCTATTATAACAGTACATGTTTACTAATAAATTTAGTTCTGGGGGAACACAACTGGAGCAAATGCACAATCTCTAAACGCATCTACAGTTTGCAATTCCAAATTAAGCAACTTCAATCCAACATCGTTGGCTAAACACATCAGCATTTTTGGGGACAATGAGTCATTAATTTGCATATCAAAAATCTAAGTATCGTGAGATAAAACATTATTTTTGTTGACTTGATTGGACAGCACCAAAATGAGTTTTGCGTTAAAACGGGCCTCAGTACATTCATGCAAATTTTGTTTGTACAGAAACAGGCATCTCATTGGCTCTTATGCTGATAATCACAATTGAATCTTTTTTTTTTCCTGCCATAAATATACACACACACACACACACACACACACACACACACACACACACACACACACACACACACACACACACACACACACACACACACACACACACACACACACACACATCTAGCTCACACAAAAAAAGCTCAACAGCTTCCTCCGGATGTGCAAAGCGCAAAGCAGACGTGCTGGAAGAAATAATTGGCAAGCTTTAGATTAGAAGATTGGTGCCCTCTTACTGTCTCTTATTCTCTCCTAGCGCACACATACACACACGCATACCTCCGCCACAGTGGTCGTCTCTAGCACTACCACTGACTTTATTAACACTAATGATGAGCCCAGAAAGACTTAGTATTTCATATATGCTATTAAAAAATGGCTGTTAGCAGTACTCTTGAGGCAAGACACTGCAGGTGAATGGGCTAAATAAAATTGATAGTTATTACCATACTTCCACTGATTAATTATTAAAAATTGCAAAAAAATATAATAAAATTGTATGCAAATGATGCATTATTCCTTTAAATATGTGCTAATTTGGATACATTTCTATACTAAAAATAACATTGGATGAAGTCAAATACTTTTGACATATTAGAGTCATAGTTTTAAAGAGGGATTAAAATAAAAGAACCATTTTTTGTCACTCTTTAATTCATAAAATACTGCAAACAAAGATAAATAAAAAATAGTGCAGAAGGTCAATTCTCACTACTTTTTGTTGAATAAAATATTGTATATAATCGGGAAAATTATGTATGAAATATTCTTTGGTAGGCGACGCAGTAGTGCAGTAGGTAGTGCTGTCACCTCACAGCAAGAAGGTCGCTGGTTTGAGCCTCGGCTGGGTCAGTTGGCGTTTCTGTGTGGAGTCTGCATGTTCTCCCTACAGTCCAAAGACATGCGCTACAGGTAAATTTGGTACGCTAAATTGTCCATAGTGTGTGAGTGTGAATGAGTGTGTATGGATGTTTCCCAGAGATGGGTTGCAGCTGGAAGGACATCTGCTGTGTTATACATGTGCTGGATAAGTTGGCGGTTACTATGCTGTGGCGACCCCTGATTAAACAAGGGACTAAGCCGAAAAGAAAATGAATGAATCAATGAATATCTTTTAGTAAAAACCTCCTCAATACAGATACAGTGTAAAGGCAGATTTATACTTCTGCGTTGAGTGATCGGCGTGAACAACGACTTCTGCCTTGCACCTAGTCATGTGTTTATACTTGTTAGCGTGCTGTTCGTGTTGTCTTCCTGGGTGTTTTGTTTTTTTCCTGAATGCTACCTTAATGTAAAGTAACTAAAACTGGCTCATTTAGAAGAGGGAACCGGCGGACATACAACAACTTTAATCATAAGGTCATCTAGGTACTTTACAGGACTCAACACTTGTAAATACTCGCTCCAATGAGTTTGTGTGACTCTCTGTCCCACCCACACTTGTCACAGCTACCAAGCAGGTCAATCATAGAGTTTGCACTACACCTCATTGCGACGTGCACTTACATTTTCTGAGAGGGCCGTGGAGAGGGCTATGCAAAAACTGCACCAGTGCTTACACATGCGCTTGACGCGGAAGTATTAATCTGACTTTAAACTGTTAAATTTTGTGTGTAAAAGCTGTTAAAAGTTCAGAATTATGAGTCGTTGCAATAGAATGAAGAACTTTTGAGAAAAGCCTTTTTAAATGCATGTTATAAAGGAAACGCTGAAAAGTGTATTTTGTGTTTTTCATTAGACTAAATTATACTTTTTGTTAATTTATGAAAATACAAAATTTCCTGTCTCACAATTGAGAAATGTATGAAAAAATATTTTTTGCCTCCAGTGTTTCTATAAATATGTCCCACAATTAATATTGCCATAAGTGTGCATTAAGTTACTTCAAACAGTAATTAATTACTAAAACATCATTACAGTTATACCTGAATTACTTCATCTGAAAAGTAACTTAGTCACTCAATAAGTAATTTAGGTTCTTGACTAAATAATAATCCATATAAATCTCAGTATATGTATAATAAAAAGTAAACTCTTAATTCTATAAATTTGAGTCAAACATGACCTTTTAGATTTGTTAAAAAAATGAATGTAAATGTGTATCAAACAAAACATTTTGCATATGTTTTGCATAAAATGCATTTTGCAAACATACAAACCTAGTATATATTGGCATAACTAAATTTCTTTTTCATTTTTTTCTTAGGCTTATGTAATTGTTGATATACAAAATATCTGAATATTACAAAATATGAATTTACATTTTCTCTGCTACACTGAATCTATATTATATATTGCTACAGTTAAAGTCAGATTTATTAGCCCCCTTTATTATTCATTCATTTATTTTCTTGTCGGCTTAGTCCCTTTATTAATCTGGGGTCGCCACAGCGGAATGAACCGCCAACTTATCCAGCAAGTTTTTATGCAGCGGATGCCCTTCCAGCCGCAACCCATCTCTGGGAAACATCCACACACACACTCATACACCACGGACAATTTAGCCTACCCAATTCACCTGTACAGCATGTCTTTGGACTGTGGGGGAAAACGGAGCACCCGGAGGAAACCCACGCGAAGGCAGGGAGAACATGCAAACTCCACACAGAAACACCAACTGAGCCGAGGTTTGACCCAGAACCTTCTTGCTGTGAGACGACAGCACTACCTACTGCCCCGAATTATTAGCTCTCTTTTTTATTTTTCCCCCAATTTCTGTTTAACGGAGAGAAGAATTTTTCATTTTTCACATTACTGAACATAACAGTTTTGATTAACTTATTTCTAATAACTGATTTATTTAATCTTTGCCATGATGACAGTAAATAATATTTGACCAGATATTTTTCAAGACACTTCTAAACAGCTTAAACTAACATTTAAAGGCTTAACTGGCTTAACTAGGCAGGATAGGGTAATTAGGCAAGTTATTGTTTAAAGTTCTGTAGACTATCAAAAAAAAAAAAAAAAAGATATAGCTTAAAGGGGCTAATAATTTTGACCTTAAATTAGTTTTAAAAAAATTAAAAACTGCTTTTATTTAAGCTGAAACAAAACAAATGAGACTATCTCCAGAGGAAAAAATATTATCAGACATACTGAGAAAGTTTCCTTGCTCTGTTAAACATCATTTAAGAAATTTTGAAAAATAAATAAATAAATTCAAAGTGGGGCTAACAATTCTGACTTTAACTGTTTATTGTTGGAAAATAATTGTTGTCAATCAGTTTAAGTGTCTTAAGAAATTGTCTTCATAAATGTTAAAAAAAAGTTGTTAAATAAAATTAAAATAGTAGATAATAGTAGTATGAAATTATTCTGCAAAATGGACCCTTTTCACAAGATCATCATAATCTTAAATCCTTGAAAATTTGTACTTTTTTTTTTTTTTTTTTTTTTTTTTTAGACATATGGACGCTTGTATGTATTCACGTATGTATTTACCTTCTTTGCATCAAATTTCAAAAAACGAATTACTGCAAGGTGTTTCTAATGTAGCGTCTATGTTACTAATGGCTTTATTAGTTTAACGGTAATTAAATAATAAATTAAGCATCTAATTCTCTTAATTTAATTATTAATGTTGATATTTAATAAGTGGTAATGATTATTCAAGCATATCAATTTTTATATTAACTTATTTGTATTAGATTAAAATGGTTAAACATTCATTCAATTAATGCCAAATTATAGTAATATAAATATCATCAAATAAAAAAATTAAACATTAAAAAGACAAAAACCACCACACCCATCTGACTGTCTCTGATTTTTCAAAACCAGCACAAACAATCTTGTTTTACAACATCAAAAGCTTGTAATCCTATGCTATGTTAGATGCATCTTGTAAAAACACTGGTTTGATCATGTCTGTCCCGATTATGATAAAGCACAAAGTGCAAACAGCCAACAAAAATATTCTGAACATCTCAAGGCCTAAAAATCAACCCAAAACTTTCAAACCGAAGAGTGAAAACTAGTCGTGAAGCAAGCAATGCTTTCCTCAGTCATGCAATCAGGGTTGCACAACATTTGCATCAGGAAATATTGCATAAATAAAAAATATCCAAATCACAAAAGATGGAAATCTTAGGCAAACTGGACATTTCACACTGACAGCTTTGAACTTTGCGCCAAAAAACTGGTAGGAATCGAAGTTGATAGTGACCTGCACTAAGCTTTTCTGCAGCTCTAAAGCTTGAATTATTGTTGATATTCGTTTACTAAAAGAACACAACAAGTGACAGTTTGTGTAGGCATGGGCCGGTATAAGATTCTGACGATATGATAACCTTGGATAAAAATATCACGGTTTCATGGTTTCGCGGTATAGTAATTACTGCTCTAAAATATGTTCTATTTTAAATTTCTGGGTAAAAATGGTTTTCCCATTTGAACACAATATATTTTATTTTAAGAAACATTTGAAATGTGTTGTTACAGTAAACAAGTCAGGCTAAATCATTCAAATGAATTATTGACTTCTGTGGTCTTCATTTATTTCAAAAAAATTTTCTTTGTACAATTTAAAACGGCATCTTTTGGATATCTTTTCTGCCGGAGATACTGTTGTCCTAAAAAAAAAAAAAAAAGGTTTAAAAAATCATACACATACCTTAGGAATGGTATTGCAGAAAATGTTTGAAAGCCTTGACTTTTACAAACCGCTGTATACATTGAAGACGGTTATCGTCCCATGCCTAATTCTGGGATATATTTTGTTAAGAGTGTTACTGTCATTTAATTATTGGCATATTGAATGGCATTATGACCAGTGTTGGGTGTAATTAGAAAGAAATGTGTTACTGTAATTAAATTACTTGTCTCCTAAAAGACGTAAATTAAGGAGTCATTTTTAGGTATCTATTTTAGTTACTTCCAACATAACCGCCTTAAATACTGTACACAATTTCAGAAGTTCTATATAAATAAATTCAAAGAAGCAGAGAAATAGATATGGAGCCTTTTCACAAATCCATTTTTCTTAGTAGTGAAAGTTGTCGTAGTTGGGTGAACTCATAGCGCAGTGAATGGCGGAGTACATTTTTTTACAATTCCATTTGCTGACACAATAAAAGAAATAACTTTACGGTGGTGTTATATTAAGGGGTAAATAAATATTTTAGTTTATCTATTTTCTTTTTATTATTTATTTTGAAGGACAGTAGAGAGCATTGACAGGAAAGCATGGGGAGCAGAGAGAGAGGAAGGATCGGCATAGGGCCACAAGGCGGGAATCAATGTCAGGTCGCCATGAGCACCTGAGTGCATGTGTCGATGCACTAACCACTACACCACTGGCGCTGACAAGTTTATCTATTTTTAATATATACAAGTAATTATGATAGATGCAAATAGATACAAGTTTTATCCAAATAGATAAGTAAATCAATAAATAAATACGGGGGGTCAATACTAATACAAATTTCCATATAGTGAATAAACATTTAAAAAATAAACAAACAAAAAAATCTATAAAATTTAGTAGGAAATATAGTAATCACTGCTAATAAATTAATTTACTTTAGTAGTAAATTATAAGTTTAAATGTTAAATAATCAGAAATACAAAATAAATAAAAAATTATAAAATAAATATGATTATGAATACAAATAAATGAACTAAAATATAAATTGATCACTAGCACAATTACATGGTTTAGCATCCATTAAGCATTCCTGCAATCGACATACAAAACATCCAGTAAACATTGGATGAACTAAAAATGAACCCTGACTTGTCTGCCTTTATCTCTCACCCTTAAGCACAGGTGAATATGGGAACTCTTGAGGCAGGATGGGTATAGATGCGGTGGGGCAGGAGTTTGGGGGTTCTGGGTTTTCAGTCTACCCTACCGCCCTCCACCCAGCACCATGTTTTACTTGTGTTTTATTTCTTCTTCCTTCTTGATGCCATAACTCTCTTTCTCCTTCCTCTTTCTCTCTCCCTTTTGATCTTTTGATAGATATTCGACTTGATGGATGCCAAAGCTCGGCAAGATTGCATCAAAGAAATAGATCTCCTGAAGGTAAGAAACCAGAGAAAAGAGAGGCCGACACCATGTGCCGCTATTAGGATCTCTAAAGGTGCCTCTGCCGAGACCCGATACCAGTGAAACATACAGAGAGGGAGAAAAAGAGAGAGAGAGAGATTTAGAGGCAGAAAACAATTGATCTGGATTAGACCTTCAGCTCTTTCTCTCTCTCTCTTTCTGTTAGGCAAGTGCAAAACAGTCCTTTTTGTGTTGTTCCTCCTGGCCAAGATTGCATTTTCTTCCTCTTTTCTGCAGTTTTGATCTTTCTTTGCTGCTTTTATTGTAATACACTATATTTTCTTTACTATAACATCTCTATTTTTAATATAGTTTACTAAATTTACATTGATTTCTATTGTGAAATGAATTATTTTAGGTCTTTATTTAATAATCATTATGTTGAGGATGAAGGTAACACTGCAACCTAGAGGAAACCGTGCTCATTCTCTGTAGAATCTTTTGATGTTTCTTAACAGTTTTATATTTTTTAATAAATCATTTGCCGTTCATCAAACCACCTACAACTGGCTGCGGCTCACAGGAGCACGAGCTCTAACGAAAGTTAATGACAACTCCAATAAGAGCTGATGTCTAGCTGATCTGAGGTGTCTGGCTTTTCTCTGCTCTGTTGTGTCTTTGTATCTGTTGTCGGATACGCCTTGCCTTAACACACACATACACACACACACCCTTCTTTCTGTGTTGTCATGTTAATTGCTTCAGCTACAATTGCCGTCCATTGCCAAGCCTGTTCGCGTTCCATCTCCGTCTCTAGGCATCTTCTTTGAGACAAGATAATTGCTGCCTTTTTTCGCCCTGCTGCTTTTTTATATTCTTGCTCTTTTGTATATACCCTAATATTCAGACAACAGGGTTGTTCACATTAGCTGAGATCTTGTGCAACAAAGTGACCTGAAGTAATTTTTTTGATGCAAGTCTATGAAATTCGGCCGCTTGAATTATTGCGATGAGGCTTATATGATGTGGAGGTTCAACGACATGCTTAAAACTGACTAAAGCTAATTCTTTTAAAAGGCTTGTCTTTGCCTGCATGCAAGAATAGCATTAATTGGTCAAAAAATGATAAAAATTGTATGATCTGGACAATATCGATAGTTGATATGGCAAAGTTGGGAGTGGGATGTGGAAAGCTCCCAAACTCTGGTTATTTGCTCTGCAACTGTGCTATCAGTGTTTATTGAGATTAAAACAAGATTAAATTAAAAAAAAAAATTGTGATAAATATTGTTATAGCAACACTTGTCACTGCTTTGGGCAATAATGCTTGTCGTAGATGCCACGTGATAATTGAACGTTAAGGAACATGTTGTCTGGCACAACAAATGAAATAAATTAAATTAAATAAAATAATCGTTTATTAATCGTAGAAGGGTTAAAATTTTCAATTAATCAAATCACCCAGTCCTACAGTGGAGCATAGAAACCCCTCTGCCCACTACTTTTGGAAGTGTTAAGAGCAATACAGACCGAATGGGGGGAAAAAAAACAACAACTCTGGCTATATCGAGTACATGAAAGTTATGCATCATGGGGAATGCCGATCACTCAAAGTGAAACTATAAATCATACTTAGCTATTGGTTTTGACAGAAAATGATCTCTTTTCAATGACTTTTGTTGGAAAAAAACTGTACAGTGGTTACCTGCATCTAGCAATAATGTTAAGTGTGTTTACATGCTAAAAATAATAAGAGAACTATCAAAAATCTGATTAGAAACTGTTTGCCTGTTTATTAAATAAAAACAATATAGTTAATTGACAGGAAGCAAAGCGTGGGAAAGGAAATGGAAAATAAGCCAGTGCCAGAACTCAAACTCTGGTTATGTCTTTTTCCGTCATCCCTATATTTTACATGGAAGCCAAAAGCCATTTGGTCAAACAGAATTGTGAAATTAATCTGAATTGTGGAATCTAATTTGTAGAAATCAACACACTCACAGTGACTCGCCTGCATTCAGTGATCAAACTAACGGAATTAAGGTAGAAAAAAAACAATGTGAGAGAACTTTCTGCCCTCCTAAGACATCTGCATTCCCAAGAGAGAAAGCGGAGGTGGAGGATAAATATGTGCATCGTCAGTTTTTCCTCACCTTCCATAACTTTTTAGGGGACTATTGGTTTCTTTATTCAGTAAGGATATTAAGTTAAGTGGAAGATAGTGAGGGATTGGATCAGGAAAATTCCTCAAGTCGGGACTTGAACTTAAGATCATCTGAAGAGCAACCATACTATATGTCAGAGCACTGACATCATAGCTCTTTTTTTTTTTTTTTTTTTTTTTTTTTTTTTTTTTTTAAAGCTTTAAAAGAATTTTTTTTATATATATATCAATAAAGTGGCCTGCCATCCCTCAGTGCTTAAAATGACCAGAAATGAGGTTAAAGTAGTAAGGAGGCCTCCTGAGTTCCCTTCATTCTCACCAATGGAAGCAGAGGTGTTAGGGGAAGAGGTCACAGTATGGTTAGTGTGCAGAGGTCATTGTTACATTCATTGATCTTTTATAAACTGTTTTAACAAGTTATGCCATTTTATTGAGCAGAGAACTGACAGAAAGCAGTGTGAGAGAAGGGGGGCTTTAGTTTGACCAATCAAATATTGGCACTGATAATAAAAAACCTTCAATTTTTGAATGATTTCCGTGAATAAAATGACTTCTCAACCTCCTGTGGTTTAAAATCACTGTGGAAGTGAGGTAAAAAGAAGCGAGGTGGTTCTTTCAGGCTCCCGGAGATACCTTCATTCCCGTGGGAGGAAGCGGAGGTGTCGGGTGAAGAGGTCACTGTGCTAGTGGGGTGATGGAGGTCACCGTCACGCTCCTTAATGACACTTTGCCAAGCGAATACACTGAGGTCAAAGGCTACTGCAACACTGGCCTCGTTCCTGCTCTTCCTACCATGTTCCTCCTCCCCTTCCTGTCTCTCATTCACCTCTTCTTTTTTTGTCTTCTTTACGCAATCATTTCTACTCCATCGCTAATGAATTCAGTCGTTATAACCAGCTCACCTCAAGCCGCTAATAAGGCTTTTGCGTGGAACACAGACTCATGCCTTCTACATCAGTGGACAGAGCTGGGGAAAAATAGGAAAGAGTCGCAAATCAAAATAATGAGGCAGACCGACGCAAGCCGCCCCTCCCCGACGTATCTGTCTATTTGTTTTTCTGTCACTTTTAGACCCCTCCTGTTTCCCAATGCAAACAAAAATTACTCTGTTATGCGGAAATGTTTTGCTGTTTGCATCTTAAAGGAACACACAAACGATTCTGACACACATCTGCAGTGTCCCACTTCTAAACCCTTCCTCAGTTGGGTTCCTGCAGTGGATCAATATTGCAGTTCATTTGAAACGTATATTACCATTTCGAGGAACCCACAGGATTGCGGAATCACTTGCACTAGTGCAAGTTGGCATAATATAATTGTCACTCTAATCGGTCTTGTTGTAAACAGAGGGTTGGCTTAATATTGTTCCCAATGGAAAACGGGAGTGAAATTACAGCGTTTAACGTGATTAAAGTCAACATCGCACCACGTTTCATGTCCGCCACATTGGATGTGCCAGCTAAGGGGAAGCAAGAATGGGGCTGACACCGCCGGCTGCACTCGCTGCAGCTGTGTGATCCAAAAATACATCTAACGAAAGTCACAGGATGGCGACAGAGGCGCGCACGTCCTCCCCTATATCAGCGCGGGGCATGAACATTTCTTTAATAACCCCCTCTGCTGTGTCACAGCGCGTAGCGGGGGCTCGACACCCTCCCGTTTGCAAGAGACTTTGCCTGTCTCGCTTCTCATTGATACACTTGTTTCCTTTTATTTCACCCCCCCCCCCCTTTCCCCCAGTCATCTTCAGTGCTATGAACCGATCCCAACTCTACTACTCATTGACCAACCAACAGGAAACAACAAAAAGCTGAAGGCTTGGGCTGGGGGGTGGAGATCATGCCGTGCTGCCATGCACTGCTGCTGCCTGGCCTGCAATGTTAACATCAGCCAGAGTCTCAGTGAATTTGTTTTCTTTTGTTTATTAGTAGCGTTTGCCAAGACAAGCATCACTTTTACTATTGCTCAGACTTGAGGGATGTGAACAAACCCATTGACCCCATTGATTTTAAACTCTCTGCATATGTTGTCTTTAAGTCAAGTCAAAGTTTATTTGTAGAGGACTTTGCAAACACAAAAGTGAGCCTAAGAGCTGTACAGAAATATACAAGAAAAAAGCATAATAGTATACAAAATACAAAAAGTACAAGATAAAATATTGCTAAGCTACCTAAAAAGGCATATGAATTAAATTAACCAGTTATTAGAATCAGGTGTCAAATAGGGGTGTGACAGATAACGGTTGATCCGTGTTCCATAGGGATCACATCCCACAGTTCTGAACGCACGTGACCTGCGGATTAATAACTTTTTTGAACTTGTAGGTTAATACAACATTCATAACAATTGCAAAGAGATCACCTCCTCTGTCATTCAAATCATGTGTATGAAAGCATTTTGGCTTCTCTGTAAAATATAATGATGACTGAAAAAGTTGTGGTGGAACCTAAATGCTTTCTTAGATTGTTAATTAAAGGTGTTTTCTGTCACTGTTTGTTTAGCCTGCATTAATGCATTCAGTGTAAAGGTGCACATTTAAACATTAAATTATTGGGATCTCAATTCAAACCTGCGCAAACAGAGAGTTGAGTTTTTACACTCTTCAGTTAGTTACAAACAATTAAATAACACAGAATTACTGGGAGAAAAGTTTATAACTCAGATACAAGCACTGATGTTTATGGTAAAGATTAAAATCACTTTAATGGAACTTGACACTAGTAAATGTTGTTGCAATTGCATTGTGTAACCAATGGGGGGCGACGAACAACCATCAAAATTATGTCACTGAATAGGTTTTCAAAAATGATCCACCTATAATGAAACATTTGTGTGTGAATTGATTTCTATATTTAGCATTATCATCAACTGTAGCAAAGATCTTTTTTGTATTAATAATTGTTCTTGTTTTTATTTTGATTGCAACTACACATTCTATGTTCTGTTTGTTAAAACCAATGTATTTTGCAGTATGTTTTCATATAAATGGAAACCAATTGACATTTGTGTCCTTCTTTTTTTGCTGATCTGAAAAATGTTCCGATCTGTGACTCAAAAACCGTGTGTGATCTAAACTGTGAGATTTGTGATCAGTTACACCACTAGTGTCAAATGCCAACAACAAAAAAAAAATAGTTTAGAGATGACTTAAATGAGAATATGGAAGAAGCCTGTCTAATGGGCAGCGGAAAATCATTCCAAAATCTAGGACCTACCACTGCGAAAGCACAATCCCCTCTAAGTTTACACTTTTATTTAGGCACAATCAGGAGAAGCTGATCAGCTGACCTGAAAGAACGATTTGGCTCATAGGGGTGTATTAGCCAGAGATATAAAGTGGGAGAAGACCATTTAGAGATGTAAAAACAAATAAAAGAATCTTAAACTGTATTCTAAAATGAACTGGCCACCAATGAAGCGAAGCTAACACGTGGGAAATTTGGTCATATTTGTGAGTACCAGTTCACAGCATTTTGCATTATTTGCAAGCGGGCAATGGCTGACCAGCTACTCCCCACATACAATGCATTACAGTAATCTAAAAGAGTGGTCACAAAGTGTGCATTACTGTCTCAAACTGTTGTTTTGGTATGTATTGCATTATTTCTGCTAGTTGTCTTTATTGGAAAAAGCTAGATTTAGCTATCGCTGTAATCTGATTGTCAAATTAAGTTGTCAAGGTAAATTTCACCCCTAAATTTGTTACTGTAGGCCTAATATGCTCACAAATCCAAACAGAATAGAGGAGTCTCAACGGTTCCTTCAAAACCATTAAACCTGTTTTGTTTTCATTGAAACTTTCACTGTTTGTGCCAAATGCATGAAATCATTCATGTTGAGGTGTGGTTTTATGATAGAGATATAAAGTAAACCCGATAATATTCCATGCAGCTACACTTAAGGAAGGTATTTATGGCTTTAGACCACACAGAATATCTTAGAAAGTGGCGATATGCTAGCAAACTACTTCCATTCGTCTTTGAAACTCGTATAACCAAAGTAGAAATTCCTACTATTAACTACTTGCTTATTACCTGCACATTATTAACATATTGGCAGTTTTTAGTACATTTCTCATGAAAACGGTGTTCAATCAATTAATAAACTTAAATTAAATTGAACTCAAACTTAGTATTCAAATAATAGGCTTTCGAAGACACTACCTCAGCATCTCTAGATGATAATCTTATGTTTACCTTCATGCAAGCATCTGCTTTGGTTTCTGCTGCCTTCATGTTCTCAGGCTTTCCTGAACCACAGAGTCTTGTTAATATTTAAACAGTCACTGACACTCTGCCTTTTCCCTCTGTCCCTCTTCTCCACAGCAATTGAACCACCCCAATGTAATTAAATACCACGCGTCATTCATTGAAGAGAATGAGCTAAATATAGTACTGGAACTCGCAGACGCTGGGGACCTCTCACAAATGATAAGGGTAAGGACACATGCCCATTTGTCAGCACTTTTCTTTCTTTTTTTTTTTTTTCTCTCTCCCAAGGAGTATTCTCACAAACCCCGGTTACTAGATGACCGAGCATAGCCTAAACAGCTACACAAAGACCACATTTTTGGTAATGATACCAGATTGTTTATCAGAATCACGTTCGATTGGTTCTGCCACCCTGCTTTTTTTTCTCCTCCTGACAACCCCTGCAGCTTGCATCTACAACCTGATGCTCCACATTTAATGGTCTGCATGTAAAACCCCTCGCTGCCAAATCTCCACCCGCATAAATCATTCCTAGCACAAACAAAGCGTTTGCAGTCGGTAAATGAGGAGCAGGACGGATTAGTATGACGATGCTTTCGACATATTGCGCAAATATCCTGACCGTCAGCTACTTCGGTCTGCTCCAGTGCGCTGCTGGATTTCTCAGCCCTTCTGCTCCACAGGGCTAATTAGGTTTATTTATTTTTTATTAAACAATGGCACGCCATAGGTGTATACCAAAGCTAATCCTCCCACCATCGTACAACCGAACATTGAGCCATATGTAAAACAGAACCTCCGAATGCATAAATTTTACTTTTTTTCTCTCTCTTTTTATTCTTTTTGATTATTTTTTTTCCATCTCAGCCCCCTCCCTGGTTCCCTCTGTCCATCTCGGAATTCAAATGAAATCAAATGGCCCCTTCATTTGCATGCACTTACAGAATATTGCATGTGCCGTGTTTGCTTTTTAAAGGCACAGAGGGGGCTGCTCTCTCCCTCATTGACATCAAACAGCCCTCTGATATGCAAATAGAAAGGCAGGGGAAGAATAGATCCACCGGCTTTGTTTGGATGTGGGCCAAGGTTTTCTGGGGCTCGAGACCGTACGCTCGCCGCCATTCTGATCATTTCTGTGAAGAGGTACGGGTGGGGATGAGGCTCAAAAAAACGGGCTGAGTGAGCTTTCGCACAATGGAGTAATGCGCTGCGCTGAGATAACCTCAGTTTTGTTTCGTTAATCAATTCCCGGCCCCTTTTAACTGCCTCGACAAGTAGGTTTACTTGCTAGTTGCTCAGTTATTGAGGCTGCATGTGAAAAGGTCATAATTACTGAGGCTGTTTCGATTAAGCAAGCTTCATTCTGTCTTAATTAGTCATGTAACGTCATATTTGGTTGCGCTTTGAAGAAAGCTCATGCACTCGTAGACCTCGTCCAGACAACACCGTGCTAAAAGCTTTGAGTTTTTGCAGAATTTGAAAAGGGATCACTTCATGCTGAGTCGCACTTAGTGTTTTGGGAGAGTTAATAGATGTTGACTTTATTAAGTACTGCCTTGAATTGTCAATGATGTTTAAACACCTGTTTCTGTAAAACAAATGTTGCGCTTTGATGTGAAATGTCATACCAAACACACTTGAAATCTGTTATTCATGTTTATTTAATGGAATAAATGTTCTATTTGGCCCACAAACCATGATGTAGATGTTTAGTTAATAGAAATGTTTTAATAGAAGGCCCAGTACTTTGAAAAAGCTGTTAACTTTCTAAAAATTACACTTTTTTTTTTAAACGATGGATGGAAACACCAAGATGTGCATAAATTTTGAATCTGTGCATAAAAACATATGCGCAAACCTGAGTAGGATAAACGTGTTTGTTTGATAAGAAAAGATGCGCATAAACTAATATGGAAACTCAATTACTGAACAAATTCCAGAATGCGCATTAAAGTCATGTGATTTTGTTATAAGAGATCACATGATGATGAAAATGTGTGTGAATGGACAAACCAGCAGGCTGAGCACATTTTAAAACATCTGAAATGTTGTTTTGGTCTTTCTAAGATGAACATCACCATGTGTTTATTGTATGTCAGGATTCGTCTTCTGAGGCGCAAGACATTTATTAAATAAAGAAAAGATTCGCTTAGCTTGTCCTACCACAGCAAATTCTGTTTTTACTTTTTATATTTGCTGCCAGTTAATTAGGAAGTGAAGATTTTGATGGAAATGCTGCTTTTTTTTTGCAAGTCTTTTATGTGATATTCCTGTTTTGCGCATAAATTTAATTAGCATCTTTGGATGGAAACATAGCTAATGTAGCCAAAAACTAAAACGTTTTTTTTTTCCCTTGCTCTTTAAAAAAAGTTTCATCTTAACACAGTGTTTTCAAGATTATTCCAGACCAGTATTTGGCGATGTCACCTTGTTAGTTGGGAAATGGCTTTGGTTGAGGCTTGGCTCTTGTCTCTATGTATAATTTGCTGTATGTATAAAATGTGAATTAATTATAGTGTGGATTAAATGCACAAATTTCTGATAAAGCATCAGGACACTTTTGAGCAACACTACTACGTACTTCAATATTGTTGTGTGTTTGTTTGCATTTCCCTATAGTCAAAATCTCCCTAAACACATGCTATGCACAAAATCAATTCAAAATCAATTTTGTTGTGTGATATATTGCACTAAAATATATTGAGATAAACGATATTATTGTCATTTTAAGTCTATTTCATGCCACTCATTATTTAATGCCAGAATGATAGTATAATATAATCACAATGCAAGTACACATAATATTATATTCTTAAGATTATTTAATTATAGTCATTTTAACAATTAAAAAATTAGGCATTAGAATTACAATGTGAAAACTCATATCCTAAAATAATAATAATAATAATAATAATAATAATAAAGGTTAACAAAAAAGTGCAAGGTAAAAAGTAACAGAAGCTGTGATATCTGCTATCTGATCTGTTTTCAGTTGTAAGAAACATGAAAATATACTAAAGTAATTTATAGTAAATGTTATAGTATTTTTTTAACCATACTGAAACCGATAGAAATGTTGCACAGTCTGCTAAAATGTTGCTAGATCTAGTTTTTATGTTTGAGATATATATATTGCATCACCAAAAATGATTGAAGAGATGTTCAAGTGTTGTACGATAAGTCATTATCTTGATTATTGTGACAGGCCTATGTTCACATGACGTCATCATTTTCAAAGACTTGACATGAGAATAACAACAAAAATCCTCCTTTAAACCGGTTTAGAGATTTCGAAAGTTTAAAAAACGCTTAGAAAAGAACAGTTTGAAAAACGCTCCTGCAAAAATAACAAAAACGCGGTAAAACGTTCCTGTATTTGCCTCAAAGCATTAAAACAGCTCCTAATTTAAATGTAAATTGTTTAAGTTGAGATTCAATTTAAATATTGGTTTTAAAAATCTTTTTCAGAATTATTCTGAAATTCTAGAAATCAAGTATTATTATCAGGGTTTTATGTGGTATATTTAAGTACATAAAAAAAAATCCAGAAATTAGCATTGCTAAAATACCAACAAATGAACAATAACAACTCGAATTCAGTAAAATGGGGCAAAAATATTCTGCAAAATTAAACTAAAGTATATTTAAGTTATGTTGAGTATTCGAAATAGCAAAATTTTGCAAGCTTGTGAACTTACTAGAAAAATTAATATGAGCATAGAATTTGTTATTATAAGAGAAATGAGTTTCAGTGAAAATGTGTTATTTACACTAAACTAAAATCACTGTATAGCTTGTTTGTCTGTATAATTGGAATACACATGGTTTTTCCAAACGCACAAACATTTTAACCTGTGTTCTTAATCATTATTACAAAAATATTTTCAAAAGCATTCATTATCAACACATATTTTTTACATAATATCGCCATCCTATTTTTCACAGAAATATTTAGCAAGATATTTGACCAAGAAGTTTTTTAGAGCATCAAATATATATATATATATATATATATATATATATATATATATATATATTTTTTTTTTTTTTTTTTTTTTTTTTAAATGGATATAATATCTCATGGATCATGTGACACTGCAATAAATAAATAGAAACGGCAAAAAAAACAACATTTTAGAAGATTTAAAAAATATATGATACATTTTCATAGTGATATTGATTTTACCACATTTTTCAGCTAAAAATGAATACATACAACATATATATTGTGCATCTGTAGCATAAGGGTTATGTTGACATTATCTAATTGCATGGAGACGTTTCTCAGTGCTTGTATGCCGTAATCTTGAAAGTCTCCCCAAATGTTTGTTTCCCCACGAGGCTCCTGCTGTACTCACTAACATCAGATGTTTTCCATTGCAGTGGCTTCAAATGAAAAGGCAAGGAAAGTTTATTGAGAGGGGTTTAATCTAGAGCCTGCACCAGATTATAGGCAAACTCAAAGCCCTTTGCGTTCATGGTCAATGCTTTAAACCTGTTCTGTTGTTTTCAGAATATCCAGTCTTTACTTCTGGGACACTTTATTTCTTAAAAAGATAGTTTAACCAAAATATCCAACATTTACTCACCCTTCACTTGTTATTCTTGAACACAAAAGAAGATATTTAAAGAATGTTTAAAACTGGTAGGCAAAGACTTCAGTTTTTTCCCCCTACTATGGATGTCAGTGGGTATCGCTTTCCAACATATTTCAAAATATTAAAAAACTCACAAGGCTTTGGAACCACTTGAGAAAATGGCTCATAAAATGTAATTTCTCACTTCAACACTTTCTCAAATCCTTTAAAAACAACTATTTTTGTGGGTTGAGTAGAAGTAGAAGGTTGATGTGCTGGGTTAACGAAGATTTCATGCATCTATGAAAAGTCTGTGCCGACATCATGGCATATTTATTTATTTATTTGTTTATTGCCTGCAGCATTTCAAGAAACAAAGGCGGCTGATTCCTGAGAAGACAGTATGGAAGTACTTTGTTCAGCTGTGTAGTGCGCTGGAGCACATGCACTCCCGCCGGATCATGCACAGAGGTACACACACAACGCTAGTGACATGTACATGCAGGAAAAACACCTTTTAAAAGACATGACATACCCTTTTGTGCTAGTTTATCACTTGTTGTTTATTTTTTTTGGTCATAATATCACAATCTAGACTTTCACTGTTCTGCTGAATCACAAATGCGAGGGTCAAAGATGAGACATCCCATTTTGGTGTCTGCATCAAATGGATATATTTAAATATTAAAATAAAAATGACGTGGTGAAGTATAAATAGAACACAAAATAGAGTCTTTGTAAAAAATACTGTCTAAAAACTAAACTTTTTTGAATATTGTTTCGTCATTTTGTCATCATTTATTTTTCATAGACTCTAATTTATGCTCTCTTTTTTCTGCGGAACACACAAACTTTCTGGGAATGATTAATGAAAGTCTGTGGTTGTCATCACTCTTTTCAGAGACCAACACTGTTTAAATGACCTTCTTATACATTATACAGGCTTAGTAAAGTAAACAATGAGTAATGCTTTATACGTCAAGTCAACTATCTTTTTTTTTGTGTAACTATGTATAAAGTCATACTCCTGTAAAGGTATTTTTCCTGTATTTTCCCCGTATTTTTAATCTTTCTTTGAAGTGCAGCAATTAACGTCAAAGAGCCAATCCTTCCTCTACCTCCAGGTAGCGCCCTTTGCTCTTAAATGTGAATCTGTTCTGTTTTTTTTTTTTTTTATTTAGGCAAAAAAAGTTTTAAATAAATATACGGCGGGATTCCCTTTGTCTTCATTACGGGCACCGTTGCCCCTTCTATACAGTCTTCGAAACAGTATATGTAGCGGTGCGTGACTGTCAGATGTGCGTCGTAGTGATAAATCGACAATGTTTCCCAAATGGATTCTGTACACACAATTTTAAGTAGAGCGAAAGTGGACACTGGGTTTTGGGTGCATGTTTGAACAGATACAATAATAATAATCATAATGATAATATTAACAATAATCTCAAACATGTCGATCTTGGTGTGTTTTCTGTCAAACACAACACATTTAGTCTTAAATGAGCAGAAATGGTTTCGTTATAATTGGTTACATTTTTTTAAGTCACACCTCTGTTATTTAATTTAATCAAACGAAAAATCTAAATGAAAGATTCATCTGCATGGGAAAGAATTTTCCCTCATGCAAAACTAATCGACTTAAGAGATTAAAACAACTAAAACAAATTTTTAAAGTATGAAAAGTATCTTAACATTACAATTCAACAAAATCACTAAATCTAAAATAAAAACAGACCCCCCCCCACCCCCGAAAAATAAGCAAGTAGGTTGTTCTTTTTTTTTTACAATTTACCCAGAGATTTAAAAAGAACTTATTTTGTTAATCACAGTAACAATCACAATACTGTGAAATCATGATTTTTTTTTAATCAAGGTTTTATATCATCAGAATCTTATAGCGGCTTATGCCTAGTGGTTATTGATATGAGTTATCCTGAGCTGTATGACTGCACAAATCTTAAATATCGCAATATTATCAAATATTAAATATATAACAATATCAACAGCAACACTTGTGCACAGAATGCAGCTGAATCAGTTGTTGCCTAGTGGCATAAAAAAACGCACCGCACATCTTTTTTTTTTATCAGGAATACAGGCATTGCAGTGCACCATGCATTTTTTCTGTTGATTTGCCCCTAAGAGTCCTACATACACAGTAAGTATAATGCAAGCTTAGATGAACAAAAAGTGAGTAATTATCATTATTCTGATTGACCTGTTTTTCACTTGTGATTTTACACTTGTGGGATTTACTTAAAAGCGAGGTAACAATGGTGTTTAGGGCTCACACTGTGTCATTTCTATGCAGTACTGAAATCTTACTATTCAGCTCTGCTGGGTTACATCAAAGTCCCTTTATTGCAAGTAATTTAACTTGCCTAACCATTTTTGAAACGGCTAAATGGGGAAACATCAAACTCTCAAATTGCTTGCCAAGCTTAGGATTAAATTTCATATTCGGAATCACCAATAAAATAAGCATCAGCTGCCTCTTTAGTTTCATTTCTAAACATTTGAATCACACAAAATCTGTTTCGAGCCCCTTCCCCAAAGAGTCGTCAGTCTATATCGATCAATGATTGGCTCTTTTAATAGAAGGCGGGGCTTCACTCGCCATATTGACAGTTCCACATTTCCCCATTCTAAACTATACGAGTGACATGTCTCGTGTATTCTATAGTCTTTGGATATATCTAGATTTGCATATGACACATGACTATCAATAACCCCCCCCACCTTTTCCCACATATATAAACTTGCCACCAGCTAATTGAATAGTCATTTGTTGGATAAGTGATAGACCATTGTGGTCTGTCCCTAATTGGGACTGTGTTGACCCCCCACTACATCATCCTTGTGTTATATTGCATGTTACAAAAAGAACAAACAAAACTTGCTCCACTTCTCATCTGCTTCTCATCAGCTCTGAGACTAGACTCTAAGGTCTTTGCTATGCACAAGATTGACCAGACACACTGCGGTGCGCATTGCATCACCCTTTTGCCATTTGAAAACAACCAAGATGACGCAACTGTCCAGTGTGACCCGAGACTGTCTTCCCCAGTTCCCATGCATTTATGCAACTCTTGTCCAAGTATTGTAACACACAAAACCTGAGCGAGTGTATTAGCAGGATTGGTGAAGGTTACTGCAGGCCACGGCTTACATTCAGGTTGTTTCCCTGGTTGATTGTAAACCCGTGCTGTGGGTGTTTTCATGCCAGCGGCAGTCTGGATCAGATCTTGTTCTTCTTAAGTGCCTGGCCTGTATCTATGTCGGTAAAGTTCATGTCCAGAAGTGTCCGACATCAAACATGAGCACGTGCTTCCAGACCCATCGTGTCCTGAAAGTCGTTTGAGCCAAGGTGATGTGCAAGACCTCGCTAATGCTAACCTTTCTGTTGACCTTTCTAAGATCTTTTCTAACATGTTGGTTTTGATTTTTTTTTTGTTTGAATGAGATTTTTTTCATTTGACACAGGTGTGATTCTGGTTTAATCTGATCAACAAGTACACACAGTCTATTTCCACAGAAAGTTTAGTGGGTGTAAAATTGCTTAAACTTGACCTTTGTCTGTTTGTTCAGGCCTCAATAATACACAAAAAAAGTGTAATTGGTTAATTTGTTAATCTTGTTTTTTTATGCCTTATAAACCTAAATGTTTGATTGTGTATGTTTGTTCGTGTGTTTGTGTGTGTGTGTGTGTGTGTGTGTGTGTGTGTGTGTGTGTGTGTGTGTTGCAATATATTGTTAGCTAGTTGGCTAACATAAATGAAGTTTTATTGAAACTGCAAGAAAAGCCAACAGTAACGGTCCATTCACACGGGGCGTCAGCATCAACACTTCCCAATTACTTTCAATTTGTGACGTCAAGCGTCTCCAAACTGAAGTGTGGGTCTATCGGCGCTGTTTCAGTGGCGCTGTTTGCTGCAGAAGTTGGGAATTTTTCAACTTTACAAGCATCAACGGAGGCGTCAGGCAATCAGATCGCTTTATGCAAATACACCAACTCAAGACAGTAGCTGATTGCTGACTAATTTCATTGGCTTTTGCTGCTATGGCGATCACGTGAGCTCCAACTTCAGACATCCTCTCAGTCAAGCGTTGACGCTGAAGCCCTGTGTGAATCGAGCGTAAGCCTTAGGGCTGCACAATATACCCTTTCAGCATCGATATCGCAATAGTCACATCGCAGGCTTCTGCAAGTAGCTAGGATTATAGTTGACTGGACATTAGAGGTACAACATAGTGGAATAATTTCAAATTTGAATTTTATAGTAAAAGTTTATTATTTGCCTGTGTTTTTAAGCCCTGACTGTAAGAATTTGAAGCAAACTTAATGATTAATTGAAAATTATATAATTACTTACTCAATTAAAACAATACAGTGTTATTATTATTATTATTATTATTATTATTATTATTATTATTATTATTATTATTATTATTATTATTATTATTATTATTATTATTATTATTATTATTATTATGTGATTACTTAGTTTCTGCTAAATACAGTTTGAATCCCTAGAAAATAATAAGTGATTGTTTATTTGCAACTTTTGTCTGTTGTACTTAGCTTTGCTTGTCATTTTTTAAATTATATTTAATGCAGATATGCTCCCCTACACCCGCACCCCCTGATCTAGCTGATCAGTTTACTTTAAAAGCACAAAATGAAAATGTAAAAACAAACTTATAACATGTAATAAGTGTAATATTTTATATTTGGCCACTATCCTTCAAACCTCTAGGTTTTACCTATTGATCAACAACATAAGTGTTTCATTTTTACATGTGTGTGCGTGTGTATATACGTTTTCACATTTTATGTTTACAAAACTGGTTTGGAACATTAAAGCAGACAAATTGGATTTTGTTTGTGTGTGTAATATACATACGTATAGCACCTTAAGCTTGGATTTAAATCAACTCTGATCAACTCTGAAAACTGGACTGACACAGTTTCAATTTACTGGAACTTCTATTTTAAACTGCTTTGACACAAGTTACATTGTAAAAGCAGAATAGAAATAAACATGAATTGAATTTAAAGTAGAGTTGGTGCAAGTACCATAGTGCTATACAGTTGAAGTCAAAATAATTAGCCCTCCTAAATTATTAGCCCCCCTGCATCACATTTCCAATCATAATAGTTTTATTAAATATTTTCTAATGACTAATTTCTTGTATTTTTTCCATGATTACAGTACCTAATATTCTACTCTAAGAGCTGCTGTATGAAAATATGGTGAAATGACAGTTAACATTGAGCTGGCTGTATTATTCTCTGACTTTGCCTAATTTGATGGTGTTTTTATATACAGGTAAAGTAGTTACTCTTAGCAACTTTAGCCTTTAGTAACTAAATTAGTTACTCTTCGACATCATGCTCAGACTTTTAGTGACATTTCAGTGTTGAGAATTTTTAGATAATTTTTCACTTTTCTGATACACTTTGATATTAGACTTTAGGATACACTAGCATTGAGATAATTCTGCTTGAAAAGTGACATTTGAAGGATTAACTAGGTTAATTAGGTTAGTTAGTTAGGTTAGTTAGTTTCTATGAGATTGATTTGTTCCATACACAATTGAAAAAAGGGGGCTAATAATATTAATCTTAAAATTGATTCACAAAAATTAAAACCTGCTTTTAATCTAGCCAAAATAAAATAAAATGACTTTCTCCAGAAGAAAAAAATATAGCAGAAAATACTGTAAAAATTCCTTGCTCTATTAAAAATAATTTGGGAAATATTTAAATATAAAACAAAATTCAAAAGTGCTAATAATGTTAACTTCAACTGTAAGCATGCTAATTGCAAGGCTACTGGTATAAACTTGTTGAAAAATTTTGTGAAATTAAATATTACACCATTTACTGATTAAAATATCGGGGCTGTTTTAAAAAAGTTGAAAATTCCTGATTGTTGAGCCCTGTTCTACTTTTTATTTTTCCCAAATGTGATCAAGTTTTTATACACAAGTTAAAGAATAATACAGCCAGCTCAGTGTTAACTGTCATCTCACCGTATTTTCGTTCAGCAGACTGCACCACCCCTTCGAAAAAAAAAAAAAAAGTGCAGAAAATGTGAAGCCCACAGAAGCTCCTATGTTGCTCTGCTGAACGATCACTAAAACTCGCATTGTCTCTCTCCACAGACATCAAACCCGCCAACGTCTTCATCACAGCCACTGGAGTGGTAAAACTGGGCGACCTGGGCTTGGGACGCTTCTTCAGCTCCAAAACAACCGCGGCTCATTCTCTAGGTGAGCTCTCCTCCCTCCACACCTACTTGCCTGTTTCTTTTCTGAGTGCAGCGGAAAGAGCCTTTAATTACTCAGTAGGGCCCGGATGTGTTTCATTAGGACTGGCTGCTAGCAGAACCGTGTGTCCTTTATAAAAAAGCGCCTTCCCGACGGCCCCTGGGGCCAGTTCAGAGCAAAGCGTGCCAGCCACTGTATCCATTTCATTGAGCAGTTTAGCCTTTCCTGTTGCCTCGACCCCATGACCCCTCATGCGCACACATGATGTCTGGATGTGAACGGGATCTTGAAGGGGTAGCGATGCTAGGCTAGAGCACCCTATGGTGACAGAGCAACTTTTTCTCACTGTTGCCCGAGGAGGTGCTGGTTTTACCACAGCTTATATTCAAGATGACCCGTTGTTTAAAATCCTCATTTTAGAAGTATACAAATTTGTTAACAGCTTGTTTTCTGCTTTATAGATGTTTGAATTGTTACTCTTTTTCACATCATGCTCAGACTTTTTGTGACATTTCAGTATTGAGAATCCTTAAATCACTTTGCTGATACACTTTTATATTAGACATTAGGATGGACTAAAGATGCAACGATTTTAGATTTTGGGTGTAGGATTATAGTCTGAGGAATAATCACGGGTTCACGGTGATCACGGTTATTATGCATTCATTAATTTTAAAACACTACTAGTTTATCAAATCGCATGATAACTCCTTATCTTTTAATCTGTTATTTATTGCTACTCAATGACTAATTAATACAGCACAAAACAAGAATAAAAAATAAACAACAGTCCATTTCTCTTGCCATTTAAACATAAGTAATTATTTTACACTGAAAAAAATAAATAAACAATAATAAATAAACAAATAAGAATGAATAAATAAGAATAAATAAGAATAAATAAGAATAAATAAGAATAAATAAGAATAAATAAATAAATAAATAAATAAATAAAATGTATCTAAGCATCATATTAGCAAAGTATTTCCCTTTTGAAGAGAAAAAATCATGTCAAAGGCTGCTAAACCTCTGTCTAAAAGGCACTTTTGTTCAGATATATTAAAAAATGTAATTTTCGAAAAAAAATTTAGTTTTCATTTTTCATACCGGTCAGTTCTTGTCTTGTGACTTGCGGTGCGTTCACGCCATTGTTTCAACTTGGTATGTTTGGAAAGCATGAGCTAATCGTGCTGCTCGCACTCCATGTTCCTGTCGCTGTTAAAATGCGCATGCACTGCCAATATGCATGCAAATGACGAATTTGTGACTGCAAATGAAGGGATATTTGAACAGCCCTTAGCCATAGTTAAAATCACCTTTAATAAAGCCTTTATTAGTTTAAAGCTTGGAACTTTAAACTAGCGCAGAGTTGGCATAACTTTTAGTTGTAGTAGTTTTGTTCCGTGCAGAAGTTTAGTGTTGAAGTCTGCGATTAATTCACCTTGACGAATTAAAGCTTGTTTAATAGTGAAATCAGTTAAAGTATTAACATATTATTAATATATTATATATTAAGTATTAATATCTAGTATTAAAGATATTAAGCATCCGTTTTATTGTTCATATTTGGAGCAAGAATGAATATAGGGGAATAGGGATGTAACGATTAACCTGACTTCCGTTTCGATACGATTCACGATACTAATCTTACAAATCATGATTTAGTCATGATTTTTTAAACTTAATTATTTTAAATTAATTACATTTTTTTTCTTAAATACTTAAATATTTCAGTATAACTAAATTGCTATTTAAAAAAAAAAACACAAATTAAAGAAAACTTATTATACTAAAACTGTGATTGTGCTGGCAGTTGACATATTTTAAAAGAAATATCATCATATCCATGTTAGATCTTTGCACATTTACAATGTCCTCTGCTGAAAACTCTTTCACTTGGGACTGAGATGGCTGATGTGGAGAATGAAGCCTTTCCTAAACCAGAGAGCAGTGTGTACAGAGGTGGTCAATAGACCCTCTGATTCAGGAGACTGGCCATTGGCATAAAATACTGATTATAAACTGACTAATTATATAGTAGGACAGAGACAGGAGTGGAACATGACTATGAAGGTAAATAATGAATATTACTTGTATAACTAATTAGTATAAGTATCAATGTGATGCACTTAAGAAGAGATAATCTAATGTTCAATAATAAGCAAGTTATTAAAGTATGCATAAACTAAATATAAATTAAATATATATAAATAAATTTGAAAAGGAGAGGGTCAAAATAATCTAATACCTGGTTTTGTTGCAGAACAACTTTCTCTTTCAGTCTGAAACCATCTTAACACTTTAGCAATGAAAACACTGATGCACCTTGTGATCTCCATAGCACTCATCTGAGCAATGGTTTGGCTTATTTATCGTTTTTTTTTTTTTTTTTTTGCGTATAGATGTCTGTGACAGTAGTTTTTTTTTTACTGTGCTGCATCATATTTGTTGTTCTGTTAGTGCAAATAAACATCTTTTCGCAATATTTGCACAACAGAACAACAAATATGATGCAGCACAGTGAAAAACTACTGTCAGAAGTACTGTCTGTAGTAGCTGTGTCTCAAATGGCACACTATACATTATGCACTCATGCTTTATGCACTTATGCACTTACACACTCAACAGGATAGTATATGTAATGTTGTCCCAAATGGCACACTAATGTTTTTTTACTAAGCAGAAATTCAAATCATTTCCCTAATGACGTTTGACGATTGCCAAATCAGTGAAATAAACGACCAAAATATCAAATAATACCTGCCGTGAGTATAACCGCATTCACCATCGGGAGAATTTTGCTTTCACTTTTGCTTTCTATTAACTAAATAAATAAAGTTATCCAACATGTGCGCCCGATAGCTCCACCGGTTCCGCCATGTAAGCAAACCTGCGGTGGTTGAGTGCGTGTCCTTCATTCCACACTTCATTTTACCGGCTGAATGAGTGCATCATCCGGTTAATTTAAGTGCACTCATTAATTTTAGAGTTTTCAGTGTGAACACACTACTTACACTATTTATACTAAAAAATGGCGTAAAATAGTGCGTAAGTATGCGATTTGGGACGCAGCTTTTGTGTTTTGTCTGGCGCACTTTACCACTGTCATTTTACCCTGCCGCCCCACGTCTTGTTTGCTGCTGATATGCAGGTAAAGTGAGCTTGCGCCTGTAAACAGCACCCCCTCTGTTAAAAAAAAAAAAGTATCACGATTTATTCAACATTTCTACCGATTTAAATTGTCACATATTTGAATCGATTTTCAACCGACTCACAGTGAATCGTTACATCCCTGTATGGCATAAGATTATAACCGGTTTCAAGGTTTATCGCAGTTTAGAAAAGTCAAAGTTTTAAAACCATAAAATTTTTTCTAATATACTGTACCAAAGGTATATGTAGGTTTTTTTTTTTTTTGTTAATTATTTTTTTACTTGTTTTTCATAACAATTTAATTTAGTTTTTAGGGGAACAATATCTCCGGCAGAAAAGAAACTTTCACATCAAGAGCTACTGGTCCAAAATATTTTAAATGTTTCTTAAAATAAAATATATTGTGTTCAATGGGGGAAAAGTTTTTTTTTTTATATATTTTTTTAACCAGACATTTAAAAAAAAAACTAATTTGGATCAGTAATCACAATACTGTGAAATATATATATATTTTTTTATCAAAGGTTATCATACCATCAGAATCCTATACCGGCTCATGCTTAATCCCTATGAGAAAACATAATGATGATCACCTTATTTATTTACATTTAAATTACCTTTAGTATAATTTATGCTTACTTGCATCATTTACGCTAACTCTTATAGTTTATATTAATTCACTTCAATTATTTTGTAAATTCTAATCATTGAAATCTTCAAGCACACTTAAATATCAAAATAAATATGTCATTTCATACCATTAATTAATTTTTTTTGCATATTAATGAGATAAAAGTATGATTAATTAAAATTTAAACCTGATTTTAAATAATTATTTGCCTTTTATTTCAGTTAATATCTCATTTTAGTTGAACACATTTTATTAAACCATACTAACTTTCTAAGACACTTTTATGCTGGATATTCACTCAACTGACTGAATGTAATAATATTAATATTGGCCATTTGTCAGTTATCTAACCAAATAGAACTTAAGCTATATCTAGTTTTAAAAATATTACAGAGACCTGTTTGAGCAAAAACTGGTCAATTTAGTTCAGCCATGTTAAACTCATATTTTCATTATTGATTGTGCAAATGCATTGCAGCATTAATATGATAATTTTGATCCAATTAAGTGTCTGCATCTGCAATTATTAGGCTGTTGCTGACAGGTTACAGTAAACACTGCACAATTAGCACACAAGAATAGATTTACCTATTGTCTTGTATTCATAAACGGAATATAAATGCAATACACATATGTAAAATAAGTCTCCGTGTGTAGGAGTATAGAATTATGTTTTATGTCAGCGCGATGATGAGTATGATGTCGGTGCAAATAAGAAAAAACACAGATGATGTTTTGCAAGTGTCTAGAAATAACCTCAGGTTCACAGCGTGCCTTACATTGCAAGCTTCCAGCGTTCACCTCGACTGCAAACAGCCACTGTGAGTCAGGAAACACATGCATGCTAAAAGCCTGAACTCACAGCGCCCTCTACAGGATACTTCTTGTTCTGAAGTCCGGCTCCTCCAGGATGAGCTACAGTCTCCGCAAGGGCTTAATCAGGGCTGTCCTTAATCATGTCTTAATGGTGCCTGCGTCACCTGGGGAATGGAGGAGCCGGTGGATCCACATCATCCATTCGCACCTGCTCCTGGGGCCGCTGCCACACGGTATCATTTACAGACTGCCATGTTAGGGATCCCTAACAAGGCTTTTTTAGGACCCCAACATGATTTATAACCGTTAATGCATCGGCGAATCATACCACCACAGTCGCACTTGTCTTTTGTAGAGTTATCTAGCTAGCTACTTTCCTGCCTGCTTATTTATCTGAGCGCCT